CTTAATTGAGAAAAATAGATCTTGTGACGTATATTTCGATCAGTAACGTTTTGGTTACAACGTGTTGGTCTAATGCGGCCGCTGCCAAAATTTGGAACATACGAAACTTTTGCCAATTTTTTTCCTCGCCAAAAATTGGAAATATTTTAAACAAACAAAATTGGCTTTAGTGCGACCCGGGCCTAAGCCTTGTTTTTAACCAGCCCCGTTGCCATAGCAACAGCACACACCTTAGCCAAAATAAGAGAATAAACCCTTCTGTGGTTAACCTTGACTCGGTTAAACTTGGTTAAAAAAACAACATTGTTTGCTTTGCCAAAATTTGGAAGCCTCCGAGGCAGCACTTCGGCTTCTTTGAAGATTGGCGAAATTTTGGCACTTCGCAAAAATTTGGCAAGTTTTTTAAACTGGGGGTCGCACTTATTTTACGCTACTTGTTGACAGATTTATTACTTCTACAAGCAAAATTGGCTTGAATTCGCTCTAGTGCGACCCGGCCCTAAACTGAAGCCGGTGTGTGTCTCTCGACCACCTAATTAACAACATAGAGCGTATCACATTCCAACTACTTGGCAGCCACACAAACATTTGCGATTAGGGCGTTCACAGTATTCTGAGAAACGGCTTGCATCTAGTTTTCCACTAAAGCTAGATTCACTGTTCAAGATGTTCTCTCTCGTTCTGTGCTTAATTTCATTCTCATGCTTTTCTGTAGCTCGCAGAGAGCTTCAGGCAGTCTGTTCTTCAGGCATGACTGTTTTGAAAAACCAAACAGCGTCCCCAGGAGTGATAAAACTTACTGGTACGCTTCCGGCTTACGACAGGAATCGGCAGTGCTCCTGTGTTTTGAAAATGGACACACCTGAGAGCTGTTTGCATGTAAAAGCTAAAAGAAATGGGAACTCTCAAGGTATGTCGTCATATTATGCATGTACCTATCAGTTTAGTATAAGTTTCTGGTGAAAGTAAACTATCGTACCGTCTGATTTATAAGTCACTTCGGATCAGCGAGCAACTACGGCTGCAGAACAAACACACTTTCGGCAAAGATTTCGTAGAATGTCCAGCTCATCTAATTGCATCTCGACAAACGGACTACTACGGCAGTGTTTAGTACAGTCACCAAATGATATTTTTAGGAAGTTTTAGCAAACTACAACGGCAAAGGCAACGAGATTCTTGTCGCGAACTGACAAAACAAAAGGTTTAATTAATGTGCAGAACACAGGCCCCGTACATGCACCGAAGTCTTGGTATTTCTTAGCAATGAATTAGCTGTTTGTTTTTGAACGAGAACCACGACGGCTAATTCTTTCGTACGCATTAAGTTCTATTTGGAGTTTAACTCTCTTTGCATTAGTTCAGAGCCTAAGCTAGCTTGATTCCTTAAATGATAGGCACATGCGCCATATCTCTAGTAGATGGCATTGGCCTCGGTATCGCCCATTTCAAACCGTCGATAAATACATGTAAATATGAATGAAAAACATACTCTTTGGCTTCAAAACGTGCCTTAGTCTAAATGGACGCTATAGAATTGCTGAAGCACAGTTCAGATGATTTATATTGAGTCTTTTTAACATATTTCGTATGTAAAATTTCAATACTTTACACTTTTAATTCTTGCACAGCTAGCTAATCGACTGAGGTATGTCGCATACTTTTGGATCAAAATAAAAGCTTCCTGTTTGTCATAGATTCATATAGGCCTTCAAATATCTTTTCGCGGATAATTAAAAACATTAATGTTTCGAGTGTTTTGGATTAGATTGAGGAACTGTTAAGGCCGTTAATTTTCATGTGATCGGTACGATCGCTGCAAAAAAACAGTTCAACGATCGTATGGATTTTGAAACCACTCTCCTTGCAGCGATTAGACTACGAGTAGTTCCTCTTTCGCTTAATCCGTCGTGCGTGACGCGAAAGAAAACCGCGAGAAAAAAATGGCCGCGCGAAATCCTGGAGGCGAGGAGCGCGCGAAAGGAGAGATTACCGCCTAAGCCCAAGAGTTTGAATTATGCGTTGCTCTCACAACGCAAAAATATGATTGGCTTATGTTAGGAGCGTTGACAACGTCTTGTCAACATT